TCGTATATAGTAAATCCTATAGGATTTATGTTTTTTTCTACTGTTGCGCAAGACATCTGATATAGTGTAATAAATTATACTATTTTCAATATTCTTGCAACATTAACACATTCCATCTTCATGTGTATATAATAATGTTAAATGTTTTTTATAACTAAATTTATCTATTCCCAAAATTAACAGTAACCATATTAGAATAATCATATTCGTAAATATATAAATATAATATAACAAAATCTAATTCTGCTAAACCATTAAACCTAAACTATGAACATATGATGAACAAATCGTACTTTCTAATTTCTATAATTACATAAAACCATGATGCATGTACAAACTTAAATTCTGATATTCGCTTTATGAGTGTGTGTGTATGGATGAGTGTAATGTGTTTAGCATTAAAATATTTTATAAGAATAATTGAATAAAAAATGATTCAAAATTATTTTTTAATATGGACATTTTATTACAGGCAATGTACTTTCCAACATTATTATGTAATAAAATTCCCTGATATATAATAGAAAATTATACATCATAATTATTACGCCATTATTAAAATTGATAATTCTTATATGCATTATGTTATTATCCAATATGAAATATTACTTATAATATATTTCTTCATAGCGTAAACAATAACTATGTTCTTCAAGATACGCATATTTTTTCAAACAAGCATCTATAGTATTAATATTATTATTCAACATTTATGGCCTTAGTTAATTACAGAATTAAAATAATTGTTTTTAAACTATATCATATTAAATTTATAAAGTAATACTTATTCATTTTTATTGCTTTATGTTAATCAGTTTTTTTATTATTTATTATTATCAGAATCATACTTCTCACAATTTTTTTATAATATTTTTTGTGCCTTAAATAAATTTATTCCTCTATATATATATTAAAATGTATAATTATTGATAATTGTAAGATATATTATACCTACTATCTCTTAACAAACTATTAGATATTTCAGGATCTTGGTATATATTTCTTTCTTCACCTATGTTATCCCAAAGTTTTCTTTTCCATGCTATAGCACGTCGTATCCATAAACCACATTTTGCGAACTAGGTTAAAAGGAAAATATGCTTGAAGTATATTATTCGTTTTGTCAAAATATTTTTTTTACATACTATGCAGTAAAATTATTTCATAAAAGAAATATATACAAATAATATGATAATTAACCTTAAGCAGAACAAATATAAAAATGCATATTAATAGTGTTACTAAAATTGTAATCATAATTGGGGCTGCAATGCTACTTTCGTAAGTAGATGTTATTGCTGATTTACGAATATCACCATATAGAGTTTCTATTTGATTATTGTGCTTTTTCATAATTTCTACCACATGATTAAAAATATTATTCATACTATATGTGTCTGTAATTATTTTATGGTACATATCATATATAGCTCTTATTTCTGGAAAATTTATTTTTTTAATCCCATCCTTAAGACATGAGGAAATTTTTTCCTCATATTTAAAACGAGTTCTGAAACCACTAATAAATATATTTAGTAATTGATCATAAACTTCATCGACATGTTCAGTTATAACTCTGTTATCTTTAAGATGAAGTAGTTCATATATCCAATAATAAAGATATTCACAACCGAATTCATTTAAACTTTCAATATTATCCCCGTTTACATCGGCTAAATATTCCATTACTTGGTTACATATATCTTGTGGTTTACGATTAAGAACATTTAAATGACTTAATTTAAGGTTATGAGTATTATCAATACATAACTTTGCCCAATAAGTTGGATTTATATAATCAGTAATTTCTTTTGGTTTATCTCCTAACTCCCTTTTACATTGTGGAAAATGAACTACAATTTCATACTAAGAACAAAAAAATATATAAATAATAGAAATTAAATAAATAAATTATATTGAACACATTTAAAAAGAATCCATAGGTAATATAACATAAAATTTAATAACGTTACACATTATATTATGCTAATTAGAACAAACAATAGATTTCCCCATTTTTTATTGCATTATACACTTTAGTAATTTAATTATATTAAATAATATTATTTAATAACAAAGATATATATATTTACAAAAATAATATTATACCTTGAAAAGTAACAATAAATTTTTTTTAAATATACATGTATATAGATTATATTAAAATACCAATGAATTACTTCATCAAAAATTCATTTAAATTTTAAAACATAATTGTAATAATATATGAAAATTAATATATTGGATTAATTCTTTTTTAGGCCCAATTAAAAAATATATATATAATATTTTCTAAAAAAACCTGAATATATTCTCATAAAATATAAAATTAAAATCCCACTATTATAAAAGTATTATGGATATTTATAAACTTCTCAGTGTTAAAAACGTATATCGAATAATAATATACGATATTAAATTGAACATTAATATATTTATATTTTTTATTTATTTATTTCATTTTCTATAGTGTTATGTATAATTTGATATAAAGTACAATGAAATTAAGGATTATTAGAGTATAT